TTTTTTTTTCTTCTTTGCTTTCATAAAGAATAATTATAATTTCAAGTCAAAGGATCATTTACACTTTCATCATAGCTAAAAAGCTATTAATAACACATGCATATATATATAAAGTTCTTATGGCAAGTCAATCCACTACACTCACTTATTTTGACTCACTCTTATATGATACATAACTTCGTGAAATGAAGTCTTACTAACTAGCAAAGCATCACACATGACAGTCTTTACATTAGTAATATCTCATTTTAATGATATATACAACTAATGAGCAGTTTAAAAATGTTGCAATTATATTATAAGGTTCTCAATAATAATGATGGTTATTATTACCTTTTGATGCATCAAATATCCTAAGGACATCATCAATATTAACATAAGAAGAATCATAATTAATGTGCAACAAATGAATGCCATATAAGTTAATAATAATAAGCAGTACAATAGAGTTGGCTCAAAGGCATACCCTAATAGATCAATTGAAGCTAAACTCTCCTAAATGTGACTTATTAAGGCTTTCTCAAAAGCAAATAACCTTTATCTAATCCAATGTAACCACGGTTGTAAGATACTTGGACAACCTATTAAACTCTACACCATATTCCTTAACAATCATACTTCCTTGCTTAATCTCTAGAAATTGCCTATACATTTCTAACCATTTAGTGGTATTGAAATATTTGTTATAAAAAATTGTTTTGAACCTTTTTCGAGTTTGCAACCTAGGTGTTGCAATATTATCCTATACTAAAGCCTCCCACCAACCCTTTGTCTCACTTTATATCATGTACTCAACATATCAAATCTTATTTGCCTTTAGGCACTTCAAATCTCAAACACCGTCTTCATTTTCTAATCCACTCATCAACTTTTTCTAGTAAAGATGCACATTCAAAAGTAGTCGAATCATTCTTTTTAAATTTTTTCATTGTTTTCACTTTGATAGTTATAGCCATAGTATTTGTTGTTGGTGCTACTAGAATATTTTGCAAACCAGGAGATGCTACAAGTTGATTATGTTGAATTGCAACCTATGTTAGAGTATGCACTACAAGTCAACTAGGTTGGCAAAACATTTTTTGTACTTGCAATTACACTCATTATATTTATGACATTCTTTATCAAACATTAATCGTTATTCTTTTGTGCATGTTAAATATTAATAAAATCCTTAGAATGTTTGCTGCATTAAAAGCTAATAGCAACTATCACTATTAATAAAAATCGTATGATGTAATAACAATATTCTTAAATTGTCTATTACGCATATACATAATTGACATTAATCTATGTAAAAACTAACACATTGTGACACTTTGATAAGTGGCAAGACTTCTTGTCACTAAGTCATGTGTCATAGACAGGTGGTTTAAAGAAGATGACTACACTAGACTAACTTGCCATAACAATAGTACATGCATGTGTTATTAGTTGTATCTCAACTATTGTGAGGACTTGTGTATTTTAATATTGTTAAAAACAACTACTAAAAGGGATTACAAGTAGTATAGTTATAAAGCGCATCACAAATCACATAAGAATAATGACTAAGTTAAGACAAAATTTATCTCTCTCATGTTAATGAGAGAAGATATCTCTAGGTGCCTTGATTGGGATGAGACTATTTAAAATCTATAGCTACAGCAAAAATGAAAGAGTTCATTCACTGAGTTAGTCTAGGGATTAAAAAAAAAAAATACATCAAGTTTTAAGGATGATGACACATAGCATTCATTTTGCTTGATCGAGATATCAATGTTAAAAGGATTGAATTACATAAGTGTCTCGGTCATAGGAAGGTTAGTCGAAGTCATCAACATTTTTATCCCTTTGGGTGGCTATGATGTGTTGCTAGATAT